AACGCAGACATACTTTGCACGGTCACCTGCCCGATGCAAAGTTTTTGCTATGACTAATTGCAGCCGTGTGACAGAAACAGTAACAATACTGATCATTTTTCAGTAAATTTACAGTAAAACAAGCACCCAGAAGACAAAACCAGAGTATTTCTGGTTTTTATTTTTTTGCTAGAAAATGCTAAGTCTTTGGAAGCCAATAAAAGGAGAGGAGCTAAAATGTCTTGTTTCAGATGGTGGAAGAACGAATGGATTGCTGCCGAAGTCCAGTATTCTAAAGATTCATGAATGGCACTGTGTGTTGAAGGGGTTCCGGCAGTCTTATAAGTGAATTACAGCAGATACACGGTGAATACACTCATATAACAAATAAAAAAAGTCAGATCAAGAACTCCTTACTCAGATCAAATCCTTTCTCATTTTTTCTCTGGTTTATTTAGTCATTATTTAGCATTACTGCCACGTTGGTCAATGAATCACAGGTCACTTACAAACTCAACTTTGTATTTATAGTGAGATGATGGATCCTGTTGGTCTGGGCTATGGGATAAAGATGGAGATATTCTGAGGTGCAAAAGGATTCAGCAGTATTGGGGATTGGTAGTTTCAGTGTGTGATGAGTGAGAAGTGGAACCACCATTCAACTCGGAGGGATACCGAATCCCTCCAATCCAGTGTCTCAAATCTAATTCTCACGTTGTACCTCTGTTATTACCTGGCCTGGGCCTCATCCTCTCATCTGTGATGATCTGCTGGAGGATGTCGCCGATGTCCTGCAGCGGTTGGCAATTGTTATGGCATTTCCTATTATTGTGTGGCTCATCCACTTCCTCTCCAGTTAAACCAATATGACGCAATATCTGGTGGGCTCTGTTCTCCATACCTCCAATGTGGCACCAGTGTGGAGGGAAAGATGGGAGCAGGGTAACTACAAAGTTCTTTCTTCAAATTTCCACGCTCACAGCAAACTGAAAGATTTCCCACAAAAACGGAAAGGTAAGAGCGGTGTGGCCTCAGCAGCAAGGATACTCACTATTTACTAATATGAGAAAATAATAGCCGGGGACCAAAAGCTCTTTTTCTTTGGCAAGAGAGGGCACAGCTCACTAAATATTTTTTTTTCTGTTATTTTAATGAGCAGCGTGGCGCGCACAGGTTCTGGAGGGTGAAAAATCTCAAAGAGAAAGAAAGCAGGCTGTTTACATGGAGAGCGGTCTTGGCAACAAAATGACAACAACTGCCAAACTCGCCAACTCGTTGCTGCTTTGGAATACTCAGTCTCTTTTTCAAACGCCAATGATATACTACAGAAAACAAAACAGATACGCCAAATGACTTTCCCACTGTGTGAAACAGTTGTGTGTATTACGTTAAAGCTGGCTATCTCTTAACCTGAGAGCCTTTCTCATGCTGTCGTCTTCGCCTGCTCTCCTTTTATCCCCAAATGCCTACTTGTTCATTAAAAGGGTAAACCGACAGGGTCAGTAAACATGCTCATTCAGAAAAGATGATTTCCGCTTGTAACTGTTTTTAATCACAGTGAATTTGGTCGTCTTGGCATGGACTGCTGGCTTTTATTACTTCTGTTTATCGGCTTAACTGGAAGCATTAGAATCATAATTTCACCACAAACAGATGTTTGGAGTCTGTACCCCGGGGCAGGTCGTCGCTGTCTTAAGTTACCATCCACAGCCCTCATTGGTCGCATAGAGACATTTTTCATTTGTATATGTCGCTGTTGGAAAATGCTGCAGTGTTCTTTGTGAAGAACCGAGAGGCTCAGGCGAAACACTAGGCAAAAGGGGGCAGGGATAGCTCAGTAGGTAGAGTGGTGGCCCCACGATCGGAAGGTTCGAATCCACTGAACGGCTACGAGGTACCCCTGAGCAAGGTACCGTCCCTACACACTGCTCCCCGGTGTGCCTGCTTAGTGCTGCCCATTGCTTTACTGAGTGAATGGGTCAAATGCAGAGAGAAATGTATTTTCCCCATGGGGATCACATTATTATTATTATTAGTAGTAGCAGTAGTAGTAATAAACTCATTTACATTAAATTATAATTCAAATAAATTTAAAAAGTGTAAATGCAGTAAACCCACACAGAAGGGGGGTGTACAAGAAGTTAGTCCTGCAAAACTTCAAGTCTTCCAAGTTTTAATTTGAACTCTGACACTCTGACACTGACCATCTTCCGGACTTGTTCTCTGCTTGTTCTCTGTGCCTTTACGCAGCTCTGCATCAGTAAGTATGTCGGCGGGCTCCAGGGAGTGCTGCTCTTTGATTTGAAACCGCGAAGAAGTCGTCATTTCGCTGTGAAGACCATGTTGGCTGGTGGTGGTTAAGACGATGATACCCCCATGGCCAGTATCAGCCGGTTTTGTAGGGTATTTATTGTGGGATCATAGTTTTACTGCAACACAGGTGGCACTAACACTAAATTATTGTTGTATTCTCACAACATCTCAAAACGGAGATGTATTATGTATTATTGAAACCGCACGTCTCTGTCTGATATATATA